CCCTCCCGTCCCCATTGCCCACTGCCCTCCTGCAGCCCCCCTTTTGACCCCCTTCTCCCCCTCCAAGGTGCCGTACCCCAAACTCAATCCAGGGCGTTGAACGCTGAGCCTCTTCATTCCAGAAACATTTTTCCAGATGTTTGAGGCAAAAGAGGCGGGGAACATCTGGAGGGCGCCGTGTGGTCTGCCCGGCACTGGTGATTAATTTTTCATCTTTGGTCCGGGCAACCCCCAACCCCCCTTCAAGCCCAGCTAAAACTTCCTTTTTTGCTGTTCTTGCTTCCTGGTCTCTAAAAAAAAAAAAGACCTTTTTTCCTCCCCCCTCCAACTTAGCCAGATGTTTGGAAGGCTTTGCCCACCCTCCTGGATGATCTTTGCAAACAGGGGTCAGATCCTGGGTGGGGTGGTCCCCCAGGGCGAGGAGGCAGGCTTGGGGGGGGGCGCTCTGGCCACCTGTATGTTTCTCTTTGGAGGCGACGGGAAAATGGTTTATTGCTCTGCCAAGCCTCTACCACCCTGGCGGGGCAGTCAAACCGGTTTGGGACGAGCAATCTGGCTTTCCTTCATTCTGAAATCTTAACTTGCTGTGCGTACAGAAAGCGAGCGAGCTGAGCTGTCTGGAAGCGGATAAGCCTTTAATAACAACCAGCTTCACCCTTGGAATGTCACTTTGCGCTGGTCCTCCGGAGATGGGGATCGGCTCCCTTAAAAGAGGAGGATAACTTTCGGTCGGTCATCCATCTTAAGTGACTGCCAGGTTGGAAAAACAACCCAGCCGTCCCCCATTACAAGATTGATGTCTTTGGGCACCCGGTGCGAGGGGTTCCCCTGCATTTGGTCCTTGCAACTCACAGTCCTGCAGAGTTTTCATTTATGGCGCAGGATGACGGATGACCGGTCCGCCTGGCCGCGAAACGGCAAACGCTGAAGTGTAGAAAAAGAAACTGTATGGGAAATAAGCAGTGGAAAAGGCGGGAGGACCGTGAAAATGTCTGAAATGTGGTCTCTGGCTGTGACTGAGAATCAAAAAAAGAAATTTTGCAGAGTCAGATAAAATGTTGCTTACTGTGGCGAGCGCATTGAGATATCGTGGTGGGTTGTTTAAAAACCGTGCAAGGGAGGTTATGTGGAATAGCAACTAGTCCATTCCTTCATTGAAGGGGGGGGGGATTGAATTCAATGATGTCATTTCTTGTCCCCCCCACTATCACCGGTAAAAATCAAGGACCTTGAATTCACTCTGCAAGTTCACCCAGAAGAGAATCTTCTGTGTGCAATGGGGAATTTTTCCCCATTTATATTTGAATATTTTTTTCACATGCTTGTCAGCTAAAAAAAATCTCGCAGGGTAGTTTACATACGTTTGGGACAGGTGGGAGGGAATCTGAAATGCAAATGTTAAAGGAAAAGAGATGGGGAGGGAAGAGGAAAAATTAATCATGTACGGCATGTATAATCAACTTCCTGGGGTCGAGTGGGACATACTCCTGGATACAAATTGAGGCCTAAAGATGCTTTTATATACCTGAGAAATTCCCTGGCCTTTGCCAAAGTGCAAGGCTGTGCATCGAAACAGATTTTAAGTCAGCTCAGTGCCCCAGCTAGCATTTGGAACCGATCTTGGCTGGGGCTGATAGGAATTGTAGTTCAATAATATTTAGAGGGCCTCTTCCCGACAGGCTCTATTGATACTGTGGGATTACGTCAGTAATTCTGGGACCCGCTTGTAAAAAAACAAAAAACTCTCATTTAATTTTCATTTATTGGATTTGTAAAGCCGCCCAATTGCAAACGACGCAATTAAAAACAGATTAAGAAACAGCCGCGAATAAAAGACGGTCATACTTACCAAATGTATTTAAACAGCCAACCAAATTTCCATGGGATCAGAGACGCGCCTTGCAAATTTGCAAAACGCGGTGCATCCCCACGGGACGCGGGATTAGACCAAGAGCCGAGAGCAATCCAGACGAAAGACTTCCATACAGACTAACTCTTATATTGACGGAGAAGCCTCCTCCATGTTATATAGCTATTGGGGGCCCTTAAGTCAGGAAGATAGTCTTGGTCAACCCGTATCATAGAAGAGTCACGAACAGTCAATTTCGCGCTGTGCTGAAACGCCGGAGGGAGCATCGGAAATGTCCACTTATTCATTCATACATTCGTCTCGTCGTATGATTAAAACAGAATGAAATGCAACTCAGCCAACAATATTTGCTGATCTTTCCCAGTGCACGGATAGAAACCGTATTTTACATTTCGGCAGATCCCCCCGGCCGTCTGTAAGATCCCTCGTTTCCTCTGGAGTTGCTTTAGGTTGTTTTCGCTCGCCCTAAAAGCTTTGCGACTGGTGGCGGACCACGTCGGGAAGGCTTGCATGTACCAAAAGGCCAACTTTACAGTGAAAATGGTATGGGTTTGCCAGCTTAGCAAGTCCGATCAAAAAACCATTTTAGGGCAGTTAATTAAAGATGTCCATCCTGGTGCCCATTTTCTTACCTCCAGTTTTAGATATTGGTATATCAGGTTTGTGCAAATAACCGATTCAGGAGAAAAGAATTCAAAAATTTGGTTGGTCTGACAACTCAACGCGGGTTTCCAGACTCCTGAGTCGGCATTTCTGTGAGCTGTTTGACTTTTTGAACCAAATTATGAATCAGACGAAGCAACAAAGAGGCTCAGTCTTGAGGTTTTAGGAGGCGAAGGGTCCAGTGGGTTCCCTAAAGCGAGCCATTCCTCTCTTGGGGATCTACCTTACAGGGTTCTTCGTAAGGGTTGTTGAGAAGATGCCGAATAAGAGTTCTGATCCTCTGTCTCTATTTTAAACCTTCGCCTAGGTTTCAGCAGGAGGATTACACCGTGGAGGTGCGTCTGAACGAGTACTTGGACATTATCTGTCCGCACTACGAGGATAACAGCGTCCCCGTTCATTCTATGGAACGCTACACTTTGTACCTGGTGGAACAAGAGGAGTACGAAGCGTGCAAACCCCGTTCTAAGGAACAGATCCGGTGGCAGTGCAACCGGCCGGACGCCCTACACGGCCCCGAGCGACTCTCCGAGAAATTCCAGCGCTTCACCCCGTTCACCCTCGGCAAGGAGTTTCGGGAGGGTCACGAGTATTATTATATCTGTAAGTGTCCTGTTGGATGAACTCTCGTGCGGGGATGAGGTTGGCGATTCCTCCTCTTTTCCAGATGTTGTCAGAGGACAGCCAGGTTCACCTCTGGCAGCGAAAAAATCAGATTTGTCATCCTTTTCCCAGTATTCCTTTTTTTAAAAAAAAAAATCTGTTTATTTCCGTCGGACTCTGACGAGAGGAACGGGGGGGGGGTAGACAAGGAAATGTACCCTAATCCTCTAAGTTGCCAGAGTCTCTTGTGTGAGACGTGCAGCTATTTCTATCGTATAAATAAAAACAGAAATAAAAACCATTTTAATGAACGCCATCCACGTGTGTTCAGGACGATGGCTTTGCAAACCTGCTTTTTCATGCCTCTTCTTGCGCCGGCGAGTTCTGATATTTTTAAACGACAGCCGTTTAAAAATATCAAGGAAAACTCCTGCAGATTTGTCCTGAGTGCTCCAGGCTAGAGAAAGGCGTATTTATCCTTATCTCTCCCAATCTTCTGCTTCTTCTCTGGTTCTAACCAGCTTTTTCTGCATTTTTTTTCCCCTCTCTCTCTTTGTTAGCAAAACCAATCCATCGGCACGGAGGATTCTGCCTCAAACTGAGGGTGAAGGTGGTGGGGAAAAAACGTAAGTATTCCAGTGCTTAAATGTTGCATCTCCAGTCCTCTTGGTCTCCAACCACTTCCCCTTGTCTTAAAAAAAAAGCAATCCTTCAGGATTACCTACAGGGAATGGTTGCAGGAAGTATGGAGCAGAATAGCCACAGATACGTCTTTGCAGCGTTTCATTATTCAGATTTACATCCCGCCTTCTCTTCAGCAGCTCAAGCTGATGCATACAGGTAGTCCTAGTTTAGCGACCGCCTCATTTAGTGACTGTTCGCAGTTACGACAGTGATGAAAGAGTAACTTTACGACCAGTCCTCATATTTACGACCTTCGTAGGTCTGTAAAGCAAAGGAAAGCAGAAATAAGGTCATAAGTATAGTTGCAGTTTCACTCAGCAACCACTGCCAGTCCTCATGGTGGTCGCTAAACAAGGATGACCTGTATAGTGCTCCTGCTTCTCACTTTGCCCCACAACAACCCTGTGAGGTAGGCTGGGCTGAAAGAGAGACTGGCCCAAAGTCACCCTGTGATCTTCTGTGGCTGAAAGGGGGTCTTGGAGGTGGGTCTATGCCCTCACTGCTCCCCAACACTGACTCAGGTCTTGTAACCTAGAAGACCAATCCATGTAATAAAATATGGATGTTTTGCTGACCCAACCCACAGGAACCAACATTGCCATTCTGCTGCATAATCTGTGCCAAGCTTGTCCTTAAAATTACAAACTAATTTGTGCATGGCATGCCCCCCAGTCGCCATCTGACACACTCCCAGGCCTCTTGTATCCATATCTAGGTCAAAACAGTCCCCAGGTTCCCCTAAGCTGCTAAGGTGCCCTTTCCCAACCCCAGGATTTTGGAAATGTGTGCCTGGAAGTCCAGGGAAGGGCTGGGTTAGATAAGGGGTGCCCCCAGATCTTTGGGGGCCACAGCTTTCAAAATCTCAAGCCAGCAGGACCTTAGCCCAGGAGCATGGGAGTTGTAGTTCCCGCCGCTTGAGAGTCCCCAGGTTGGGGAAGGTGATAACATTGGATGTGTTGGGAGGTAGAACTGCCCTGCATTGGAGGATGGGGACTGTAGTCCAACGCATCTTAGGACAGAGAGAAGAAGGCTGGGAGATGGAAGCTGGAAGCTGGAGGGAGGGTCTCAGGGTTCGGCGTATCCTGAGTTTTGGGGAGTCTGAACTTAACGGTGCCTCTTTCTTTCCTTGTAGCTCAGACACCACCTGGCCACAGCCCCACACAGAAGGGGACACTTCAATCAGGTAGGTCCAGGAACGGGAGTCTGGGAAATTGGGTGGCTGGGAGAAAGATGGAAATCGGTGGGGTGCCTACGAGACACGGATCCACGACCCTCTTCCCTGCCTTACGAGATAAACATTCCCCACTTATCTCTTTCCTTGCTTGTTTTCGCAGACGATCCGGACGCCCCGATGCTCCGGAGCGTGGGGCAGAATTCCGCCCCCCAACTTGGCAGCCCCTTCCCCTTCCTCAGCCTCTTGCTGCTCCTCTTCATGCCCCAGGGGCCCTGAAAGGAATCTCGGGCCCGGACTGAACCCCCAGGATTGAGCCAGGCAGGGTGGCCTAAGACGAGGTGCACGAGGTGGGCACCATGGGACCTCCAGCATTCTTGGGCTCGGTCCCCGGCACCACTGGTTGTGTGAGGTGCAAGGAAGTGCGATGCATGTTGGAGCCATGGGAAGAACGGTCCCTGTGAGCGAATCCACTCTCTTGTTTTAGAGAGAGATCCTGTGGGACTCCCCAATGTGGAGAAACCAAAGTGGTGGGCAGAAGCCACACAGGTACAGACGCTGGGTGTCCTGCAGGTCAGAGACACCGAGCCTTCCTGCCCCAAACGGGGGGCTGCGTTGGATGGAACTGGTGGACATTTCAAGAAAGGTCGTTGCGGACGAATCCCGGAGCCCCCAACTCCCCCCTGGACTTAATCGAGCATGTGAATAATTTATCCGACCTAAAAACAGGCAGGACCTGGATTTGGGGAGGACCGTGTGACGTTTCACCTTCCCTTTGTCGGACTTTCATCCTTGCAATCCGGACGGGAAGGGTTCGTCCGGAGAAGGCGGATCCAAGAACACTGATCGATAGTATTTATTCAAAGGAAAGGTGACGGTTACGACCCCAGCATTCCCGCAAGGACCCCGATTTCAAACGAGACGTTTGTATATACGGCAGATGGAGGATAGCAAAACTCTCGTTCGTTGGCTTCTGGGTTTTTGATCTGAAGGGGTGAAAACTTGCCTTTTTTTTGTTTTTCCTTTTTATACAGAGGAGGTTGGGCTGGCATCTCTCCTTCATTTGGGTAATGGCTAGGGTTCTCATCGGCAGGAGAAATCTCGCTCGTACCCTTCCCCTCTCTGCTGAAGTACAAAAGGGAATCTATTAAAAATGGAGGTGTCCTCAAAAGTGCCAAAGAAAGGTTTAGAGGCATCTGGTTTCCAACAGTGCTCAGCTGTTAAAGCCATAAATCAGGAGTGTTACTGACTCCCGTGCCACCCTGGGGCTTTCTGTGTCGAGGAAGAGTGCCTCTGTTCACGGTGGATCCATTTACCTGTGGATAATCACAGCTCGTCCTTGTTTAGCGACCACAATGGGGACCGGTAATTTGGTTGTTAAGCAAAGCAGTCCCTAAGTGAAACCGCAACTGGCTTACGATCTCATTTCAGCTTTCTTTTGCTTGACGGACCTGCGAAGTTCGTCAGTGCGAGGACTGACGGCAAAGTGAGTTTTTCATCACCGTCGTAACTGCGAACGGTTGTGAAACGAGGTGGCCGCTAAACAAGGACGATCTGTAACAGAGCTCTGTTCCGTTTCTGATTCGAGTCCCAGCCTTTTCTGAGCGATTGGCTCGTTGTGATCTGGCCTTCCTTTCCAGGGCTAGAGCTACAATTTGTGGATTGGTTCTTTCTGATCTCTGGCTGCTTAAATGGGATCAGGGAGACAGCTTCAGTTGCAGGGGGTGATGGGGAAGGAATATGCCACTCAGGAGTGGAGGGGAAAGGGGAAATTTATTTTCTGTCATGCTTTTTATTGTGGGATTTTTTTTTATTAAAAAAAGAATAAATAACACCCGACAAACTGGCTGTGGTGTGCAGTTAAACTGGGCGACCTTGTCTTCGGGAACTGAGGGGGCGGGGCCTGGGATATCAGAGGGAGGAGCCTAGGGCACAGGACGGAGCCTAGCAGCAGAATCAAAAAATAACTTTTCTTGCTGGAAAGATTCTGTAGATGGAATTTGGGGAGTGCGAAAACCAAAACCAGTGCAAGGTATTCTGCTTTGATTCTGTTCCCAGCTTTTTTATTTCTCGCCCTGGAGGGCCCAGGTGGAAACTCGAGGCCAAACCTTGAAGCCTGATATTATTACGGTCGGGTAAAATGCACGGCACGGTTTGTTTTGGAGGTCTTTTGGGAGCCAGATGGCCCAACGAGGGATCGAAACCTGCAGGTTGCAAAGGCTGTTCGATGATCCTCGGGTGCGTGCATGTTTAACAAGTCTTTAAATCGCCTTTTCACCTGCTTTTCTCCCTTGCTGATAAAGTACATGTTCCTGTTTCACAACTGAGAACATCAAGCGACAGGCAGCCTTGGAAAATAAAAGCAGGCGTAAACCGGTTTCTGCAATTTGTGAAGTCTAATTTGCAGAATGGTAGAACTCTAGGGCCTGCATTGTAAACCATCCCCAACGAGCTTCTAGTCCTCAAGAACAGTGCAGATCCCTCCTCCAATTCTCAGCCCCAAATTCTGAGAGAAGGCTGCTCCATGGCACGGCCTCAAGCTTTATTGTATTATTTTTTAAAAATGCCTTTTTTATTGCAATCCTCGAGGGCGAAAGGCCTGGAGCGAGAGAAATGCCTGCAAAGGCCCTTTGCAAAATCTGGATTTGTTTGGTCACTGAGCCGTTTTAATCTTTTATTTGCTCAAGCCCAGGCAAACAATCTTCGGTTTACTTCGGGGCAAGCGACATGGTTTGGGGAGGGGGAGATCTGTTTAAAAGCGGTTTCTTTTTCAACATGGTGTTGTCAGCTTGCTGTGAGGGCAGGAATAACCAAGCAGGGTGTTCTCTGCCCCGCCGAGCTTACAGATAATCCATCCTCCACCGCCAGGAGTAGCCAGAAAGGGAGAGGCCGGTAAATCATGCATGCAAGTTAATCATCTTGAAGCTTTGTTTTGGGAACCAGGAACCGGCTGCGCCAACGGAGCCGATGGAGAAAGGTGGCCTTGGTGGGGAAATCTGTCGAAAGCGAAATGACATCACGAGCAAGCGCGCCCGGGTTGTCTGCTGTGTTTTCTTTGGGGAAATCTTGCAAGGCGGAGATGTCCTTTGCATCGCTTTGGGGCTGGATCGACGAGAGGTTATCGGACGGGCTGCCTGTCAGAGGCCCTCGCGGGGCTGTCCCGACTTGTCGGCAGGCGCGTGCGCGTCTGTGCCCGTTTTCTTTCATTCTGTTTAAATCAGGGTGGTTGCTGCCGCAGCACGTTGGGAAACTGGGAGAGTGACCCAGCCAGACAAGTTGAGTTACTCAGCCCAGCCGCGGCGGCTGCTTTTGCGGTCCGGCTCGAGAAAAACAAGAGGAAGAACGAGTCGGGGCGAGGGTCACGGTTTATCTTCTCGTTTTTCCTTTTTCTTTGGCCGGATGGTGTCTTGATTCTCTGTCAGGGCGGCACCTTTCAGGGGCCAAGTCAAGAACCAAAATAGAAGCGGTGCAGGAAGAGATTTGGGGGGAACGCAGACCCTGAGTCTGCTGTAAAAACTACCCCCTTAAAGGCAAATAAGGAAGAGGAGCAGGAGCAGGAAGACCTGAGTTGCATGGGGTTAGGGATTAGTATTAACCTAGGTTAAGATGGGGGGGGGGCTTTCCATGAGCCCAAGCAGGCCCAAAAGTCTAAACTGAGTTAGGATGAAAAAAAGAGTTATTACATGTCTTGACCCACCTTGTTCAACCAGGTCAATTGTAAAGTTAAGCTTTAACGTGGGTGGGTGGGCAGCGTGATGGACATTTCTTGAGTTTCTGGTTTGGTTTAGGATGGAAATCCCCAAAATACACTTTACAGGTTGTCCTCGTTTAGTGCCTGCCTCACTTTGCAACCATTCGCAGTTACGACGGTGACGAAAAAGTAACTTGGTGACCAGTCCTTGCACTGACAACCTTCACAGGTCTGTAAAGCCAAGGAAAGCTGAAGTCAGATCATAAGCACAGTTGTGTTGACTTAGCAACCGCTTTGCTTAATGACTGAGTTGCTGGTCCCCATTGTGGTTGCTAAATGAGGACTGCCTATTGGTAACCAAGCAAAATGCGTGAATACAATTTCATGATGGTGTGTAGGTTAAAAGAGGTCTCTGTGGCATGAAATCCTGGGGAGGATTTATTTATTTTTAACCCTGCTTTTAGGGTATTCCCTTCCCGTCGAGCATTTAATAACTCCCCAGCATAAGCTAATTTCCTAAACAGGTGTCTTTCCAATGTAAAGGACTACAGTTCCCATCCTTCCTAACCCGCGTGGCCCATATTCCTCGAGCGTGATGGGGATTTTACTTTGACTTTCCCAGAGGGTGGCATGTCGGAACACTGGCATAGGTTTTTATGGTTTCCTCGAAGGCCTGACGTATCGGCACCGAGAGAAGAGCTGTGTGAATTCTCCGCAGTGAGGTCAGAAGGGAAGTGAAAGGCGGAAAATACGGGGTGGAAAGGGAACAATCGATGAATGATTAAACGTGGGAAAAATTAACACCAGCCCTTAAGTCACGATAGCAGGGAGTCGGAGCAGAAATTCAGTATACCTCAAGCCAAACTGGCAAGACCGAGCCAAGGTACAGGAAGTGGAAGAAAGCGTTTTTTTAAAACTTTTTAGTCCCTGGAATAACACCTCCGCGTTACAAACACAATTTTTTTTTTCAAAAGCAAAAACAGGGATAGTCACGCGATACCGAAAGCGACCCCGGTCTCTCGTTTGGTTTCTGATCCGAGCAGCCATGTCCAATTTCGCTTTCGGGAGCTGATCACAACTCCCCTGCGGAGAAGACCTCTTTCTCAAAGTTGTCTTCCACACTTCGTAAATGAACGGGGAGTGACCAAAGGACGAAAATTGTGGGAAGGCAAAGAAACCAGAACGAGAAGAAAAATGGGAAGGGCGGCGGGGAACCTCCAAGCCTAAATCAGTCATCGAGGAACCAGGCGAGTAAAAATAAGGTCACGCTTTCCAAAGACTTTTCAAGTTCGTTTTAAACTTGGAATTAATCTGGAAGCTGGACACCTTTTCTTATAATGATATCTCACTTCTTGGTTTTAAAAAAAGTGACGGCACTCACTTAAAAGCAACACCCGAGATTCAACTTATGACAGCCGGGTCTGTAAAAGGGTCATTGTGTCGAAAAGTTGTAAGGCATTTGTTCTCCTTTGCTAAATTTCACCCTGGGATTCCTGGAAAACAATGTGCGCACACACACATGCGCGCGCACACACCCTTTCCCCCCCCCGTCCTCCCCTAACGCTAAAACTTTATGCAGCAAGTGGGCGATACGTCACACGAACCTGTAACGTGGCTTGCTCCACTTTTCTTCAATCCGTACGGCGAGTCTTGCCCCTGTGAGTTTATAACCATCATTCCACCAGGATTAAATGCTTGACCTTCTAGCATGGCTAGGCTCGGAAACTTGAGTGTAAGTTAACCCTCTTGGCTTCCTGCTTTTGTTGCACGAATTCTGGCTCGGGTGACCCCCGTGGCTTCCATTCCCGCTGCACATCAAGCTATAAACCATGGTTTGTAAACCGCTGCGGCTCTATTCACAGAGCCTGCTAAGCAGAATCGTAATTTGCGCAACGTGTGGACCCAGTTGCATGCTGATTTCATAGAGCCAGTGATACAATAATTCAGTGTTTCTCAACCTTGGCGACTTTCAGATGCGTGCACTTCAACTCCCAGAATTCCCCAGCCAGCCTTGCTGGCTGGGGAATTCTGGGAGTTG